TTGAATATATTTAAAATAAGTTTGCTAATATTTGGTTTGGGTCAATCTATTATAAATTTTACAATTATAATTTTATATTATAAATTTATATTTTAATATAAATAATAGTGCAAATTTAGATTCCAAAATTTAATAATCAGAATATTTTCTTTTATAATTTTATTATTGATTTGGAAATTATCTCCAATATCAAAGAAATATCAATTTTAATGATTTTTTTTTTTTAATGATATTTTTAATGATATTTTTTCTAAAGTACCAATAAAATTAAGTTTTATTGCTAATGTATTAAATTTAATTTAAATTATCAGGAACATTTGATTTTTTACTTAATATTTTAATATTTTATTTAAAATATAAAATCTTTAATAAAAATTTTTAAGTAAATGATTGTTTTTTAATGATATAAATCATTGTTTTAGAACTGATAATTATATATATAATAATAGATATTAGATGTATGTAGATTAATAATATATTTGTGGGATATTTTTGGAAAGTTTATTTTAAAACTAAAAAAAAAAAAAAAATATACAAAATATATAAAAATTAACATATAAAAATGTCAATTAAAATTTATTTATTAAGTTATATAATAAAAATATAAAAATTAAATTAAATAAAATAAAACAGAAACAAAATGCAATATAGTAGTTTCACTCTTTTATTTCATTTAATATAAATTTCATTTAATAATAATATTTCATTTAATATAAATAATAATAATTGGTCATAACTTTAACTGATATTTTTGTATTTAGACCAATTTTTAATCTTCAAAATTAATCTTTCAAAAATTTCTTATGAATATATTAATATTCTGGATGAAAATTATTTCATTATTATTAATTATTAAATTAATAATTAATTAATTATTAAATTAAAATGGAAAATTTTTCGAATTTCTTTTGAATATATTCATTTTTATACTTAGTTGTTAGAAGTTATTATTTGCATATAATAATAAATGAAAAATACTTGTATTCTTCTAAATTATTCTAGATAAATTTCTTATTTCTTCAAAAATAAATAATTAAAAACAATTATCCATTTAAATTTTCAAAACTGCAAGAATATTAAAAATATTCCATATACAAAAAATTATATACAAGAATACATTGAATTTTGAGAATTTTTAATATTAGATATACATACTGATATATAAATTTTTTTTTCTTTATATAATTATATATTGATTTATTTAATTTATTTTTTATATTTATTTAATTTTTATTTAATTTAACTTTTATTAAAATATTTACTTACTTATTAGTTTCTCAGTATCCATCTGTTATATATTTAAACTTTGCAAATATAATAAATTGCAAATTTGAAATGTTTATTCTTTGTTTTAAATAAGACAAAAAATAATTAAGGCAAAAACTTGTATGAGTAAAGTTTCTGTTCTTTTAATATGCATGATCTTTTGTATATGATTAATGATATTTAGAAATATTGTAAGAAGTAAATTCAATATAAGCATTTCATCAACATAATATCAGAAATAAATTTTAATAGAAAAAATAATTTAATAGAATTGTTTTATCTTTTCGATAATCATGAAATTCAATATATAACATATTGCTAGGCAATATCAAACTTATTTCAATCAAGGATCATTTATCCAACAAATAGAGTTCAATGAACTGCACAATACGTATTTATGTTATTAATTATTTCAATTTTTAAATTTCATTTCATTTTATTTAAAGAAATATCAAATTATAATAAAAAAATTAAGAGATAAAATAAATTTGTTTTATATCGAAAAATATATGCGAAAGTATAAATTGTTTCAGGGTATAAAAATATCGTGCGCTTACATGCGATTCGCGAACGACCAATTTTATATAAATAACAGTCTAATTTTACATAATTAAATATATGAATGGGATAATTGTTGTACTTAAAATATTATAATTATTTTAAATAAGAGATTTAACTTTTATTAACAAATTTTCTAAAATTGGTAATTTATATCTCAGAATAGGATTTTATACACTTTAAGCGTATTATTGTATTGCATTGTGCAATATTTCTTCTATTTTTTTAGATGAGAATTATAATAAGTGTTATAGAATTTTTTTTTTCTATAAAAAATATATGAGAGATATTAATATATATCAAATTTTTTATCAAATATTTATTTCAATTTTCATCATTATTCATAACAAAAAGTTCACATGGAATTAATTAAATGGAATTTAATTTTCAGGAAGAGTTTTAATTTTTTGTAAATGGATGCTTAGAGAATATGTAAAATTTATTAATGTTTTTTTTATATAAGATCATGTATTTTTGCATTTTAGAAAATATTTTAATGTATTTTAAAAATAAAAAGAACATAAATAGAATATTGCTTTATGTATTCCTTGTTTTTCATATACTAAATTGTAATTTTAATTTTTAACTTCAAATTAAAATATTTCCTAAACTATTAATTTTTGAACATAAATGGATTAATATTTTTATAGAAAATATCAAATTGATATCAATTAATACAATAAAAAATAATCTATTTATCTATTTAAAAAAAAAATTCATGATTTTCATATTTTCTATTCATTCACTTCAAAAAAAAATAATAACAAAAATTTATTTTTTTTTAATGCATTTTATCTGAAAATTTTTTTATTATCAATAATAGCAATGATATAAAACAAAATGATAAATCCTGTATATATATTTTATAATATACTCCATAATATTTTCGTTATATATATATATATATATATATATATATATATATCATATCTATCTATTTAAAGTTATATATATAACATTAAATAATTTTTAGATACTTATAATAAATAGTGAAAATATGTAAGATTTGATATTAAAATTTTTCTATTTTTGTTTTTTGATTTCAAACAAATACAATTATTGTTATTGCTTTTCATTAATAACATTGAATTTATATGCATTAATTTTTTTTATATATTTCAAAATATCATATTTACATTAATCTTACATATTTATATTGTTACAGATATTAATATATGAAATAAACATATAATAGATTATACGTATATAAGATTATAAAAATAATAAATGTCCAGCAAAATTAAAATATAAGTATTATATTTATTTATATCATAACTATCATATTATTATCTATGAATATGTTACATAATATGTACAATATGTTAATAATAAGCTTTTTATTTGCACAATAAATTCATTATTTAATGTAATTTATTATATTCTAACTAATTTATTATATTCTAACCATAAGCATTTGATATAATAATATTTTCATACTCTATATTTATGGTATATAAAAATTATTATATCTTTTTTGAATAATTAATATTATTATATTACTATATATGTCATTAATACTAATGTATTTTGTTTGATTTTCTTTTTCATGTTCATCAAGTTACAACAAGGATGTGAAACAGGAAATCATTTGGACTATGAATATACATAATTTTTTCTGAATTTAATGATTATTCAAAAAAAGATTTTGAAAAAAAACATAAAGTTGAAGTTATATTTATATATTTTAATAGGAAAAATAATTAATTATAAACAATATTTTATGTATCTTACTTATTTCAAAAAATATTTATAAATCAAAGTAAATAATATTAATTTTATCATTGAAAGATTATAATGGCGTCCATTTACAATTATAAGATTTGTTTTGTATTTACCGTTAAATATAGCATTAATTTATGATTTGACAAGATATGTATTTGGCGTTAAAAAAATATTAAGTTGTATATCAAGATTATATATCAAGATTTTTGATGTAAATTTAATAAAAATTTGATGTATGCAAAGTTGATATTAGATTTGATATCAAAATAAATGCGTAATGCCAACATACATAAATGGATATTTTGTAGCCATATTTCAAATTATAGAGATTTAATGCCAATTTAATAACAAATTGTTTAAGGATTTTATATATATTATAATATTAAAGGTATAAAACATAAATATAAAACATTTCTTTAAAAAAAATCATTAAATTCATTTCTTAAATTCTTATATTAGCTTATTAAAATTGATATGATGAATATTTTAGATATATAGCATTATTTATATAAATACAGTATAAATAAAATGTATATAAATTATTATGAATTTTTAAGTAATTTTTAAGTATTAATTATTATATATTTATTTATTTTTAATATGATAAACTATTATTTATAGAATTTATTATATGATTATAAGCATAATTTATTAAAATCATAAAAAATTTGTATTTTAAAATAATAAATTTAACATATAAAAATTTATATTTGATATTGATTATATATTAATTTAAAAAAAATTATTTTTTTAAATTTAAAAAATATTAATATGAAAGAAATAAATAAATCAATAAATTCTTAATTTTAATATTAAGAAATTTTTAATATAAATTTCATAATTCACAATTAAAGTAAATTTTTTTATTAATACGATAATTTTATTTTTTTATATGATCGATCAATTATTTTTTTATTTTATTACATATATATAATATGATAAATAAAAACTTGTTTGTGTGAATTGACTTCATATTTTATAAATTTTTTATTTGATAATGAATTATTTTTAAAAATCGATCTAAAATTTGATTTTATTATTATATATTATTAATAAGTATATGCATAAATCATAAATATTAAATGTTATAAATAATACTTGTTATATTATATTGTAATATTAATAATATTCATATAATCTTAATTTAAAATGTTTTTAAATTAATAATCTTTATTAGAAAAAATTTAAACATTAAAAATTTATTAAAACTTAAACATATATATAATATATATATATTTATATATTTATATATATATTTAAAATTTATTTATGGACAAGAATATTTGAATTAAAATTTTTTATTGATCTAATATTATAAGATTAAAATAACCTAGTCTATAATACTATATGAATTATGAATAACACTTTACACAATAATTTATATAAAACTAAGTAAACATTAATTTGAATTTTTATAATTTTAGTAATATAATTAATATTAATAAAAATGATATAAAATGAAATAATACATATATATCTAAGATATTTATTTTAATATTATATAAGAACGTTATATAGAAACGTTATATTGGTAAACCTGAATAGCAAGTAAAAACCACATGGAAAAGGTGAAAGTATTAAGAGACAGAAGACGACAGATCAGAAGCGCCACAAACGGACATTTTACAAAACACTCGGCATGGATCGAGCTCCATGTTCGCCCGTGAAAGTGATGCGGTATCTCCGCGATTAGGGGATACAAATTTCGTGTTCAGTGTAAGGACGTTGAACATTTTGTATACGTTATTTTGTGAGTCGATATTTGCAATTGTTTGTTTCAAAGGTGATAAGGTTAGTTTAAGGGTGTGTAATCTTAATACGTGTCAAAAAGTAGCGTGGCGAAACGATTTTTGGTCTCGTTTCAGTGCACGAGGAAATCCTTATAAAAACCGATCGCGACATCACAAAATAATAAAGTTTTGTCGAAAAAACATATCGAAAATAAAAACAGAAAAAACAATATTAAGAAGAAAGGCGAAAATAATAATATTAAAAGTGGTAGTGGCAGCAGCGATAGTGACGGTAACGGCAGCAGTGGCGCAAAGTGTGAGGACGAGGTGAATGCACGGCGGCCGCGGTGTGTGCCAGTGGTGTGCGCGCTCGTCGCTCGTGGAAACCCGCCAAAACCCGCGGCCGCGAACAACCACCAGCAAGAGCAGCAACAATAGCAATAACAACAGTAGTAGAAGAAAAAGAAGGAGGAGGAGAAGAAGGAGAAGGAGAAGGTGGAACAGCATTAGCAGTAGTAGTAGTAGTAGTGGTAGCAGCAGCAGCAGAAGCAGTGGTAGCACGCGACGTTGTGCTGTTTTGACAACTTTCCGCCGCTTCGGGGCGTCGCGCCGTTTTTCTCGCGGCGGCGGCGGCAACGGTAGAAACGACAACAGCAATAAGATAGCGACAACAACAACTTATTTAAAAAAGATCGATTGTGACGGCAATTACGATTGCTGGTGTCTCTCCAACCCATACGACGTCGACGGTGGTGGCGACTGCGTTCTGTTATTATTTTGCCACGGTGCTTTTGACCCTACAAACCGGACGAGTTCATTGCAGCACTTTCGCGGGGGTGTCAGCCAGTTTTATTACTCCGACCTTCTCCGTCCGCAGCAGCAGCGCCGACGGCGCCAGAACACGACGTGGTATATGCAGCAGCACGTCTAACTACAGGGTGATTCTCCCGCTAGTTAACTCAAAGATTGTGAGGCTGATTACACTCTTATTTTTATTTTTATGTGTATATATATATATATATATATATATATATATATGATATATACCCACACACCACCCCCCCTCCCCACACACACAGAGCTATCTCGATATCATTCTTTGATATCACAGCAAAGATCAGTCCAACAAATTATATATATCGAAACGTTGCGTTATCGCTGTAATGTGATCGGTGGCATTGTCTTTGAAACAAGTAGCAAGAGAATTACCCTATAGTGTATGTTTCAATCATACCAATAATCCAGAGACACGTTGGAGCGCTTAATTCATTGTCATCGATAAGCTCTGAACACTGACTTAGTGTGTATCGAGCGAGTCAACTGAAAAAAACTGTGGTGATCCTCTTTTTACACTTGCCACTAGAGGGATTCGCAAAAAACACAATTCTCTTATTCATTTAAAATTACGAGTTTGTAATACTGTAATATTAGAAAAACAAAACAAAACAAAAAAAAAATTAAAAATATAGAAAAATAAAAAAAAATGATACAGTTTTCCATCCTAAGATTACTATTAAATTTGACAATACCTATTAAAAGGACATGCTCGTACCTTAGATGTAAGAATTTGTAGACAATTCAGAAGATATATTTTTAAGAAAGGATAGTTAAACGAATGTTTGCGAGAATTTTGTTTTTAGTGTAAATCCCTCTGGTGGCAAGTGTAGGAGGATCGCCACAGAACTATATCGGTGACGTTGCGACTGAGAAAGGACGCGACGAACCACGTGATATACCTGTCGTCGGGCCGCGTCATGCAAAGCATGCCCGAGTCCTCGATGGCCATAACCTGAATTGAGCCGATTTGACCCGATTAAGCCCGATTCAACGTATTCGTAGTTGAACGAACAAGCAAACGAACGAATGAAAGAAAACAAACGGTAGCCATTGACTTTTTTCATCTTTCCTCGTGCTTACGTTCATTATTCTTTAGTGTTCTGTGCTATAAAGAATATGCTTTTTGCAATAAAGATGCGAATATTCAGTAGAAGTGTATCAGAAGTGTATTATACTTCAATAACAATATTTATCTAATAAAAAAAAAAAAATAAAAATTTAATTAGGAAAAGGGTCAATCTGTCTATTTGTAACAGGTGACTAGTTAAAGGAATGAACGGAGTGATTGTGATACGCATGCTATTTCTCGTTCTTTCGATGTTCTTTTATAACGGTGATAATTTGAAATAATTGTGCTATACTGTGTACTGTGCATATAGTGTCATTAATACGGTGTTTTTATAGTGTCAACCGTTACGTATAATTGTCTGAAGGTGGTGGCGTGGGAGTCCGACATTTTAACCGCTCGTATTCACGAAAAGATACAAGTGTCCACGTGTGAAATATGGTCGGCACTTGAAGGGCGTGAAAATCATACGTTGAACTTATTCCAAGAAAATTTTTTAATGTCTTCTCTAATAAGAATTTTATTATAAGTATAGTTAATATTTAATTTTATGATCACGATCTGTTTATTTTTTCATTATTGTACACTTTGTTGATTACCAAAGAAAAAAGTGTCAAGCACGTTTTTTTACGGCGATTCAAGAATCTTGAAAAAAAATAAGTGCTAAAAATTGTGATTTTGTTAAGTTATAGAAAAAAAGGAATTAAAATTTCTAGAAAACAGTGTATATACTGACAAGTTAACAGTTATTAAAAAATATCCGTGTTTTGTACATTTAGTGAAGTGTTTGACAGTATTTAATCAAGTGTCTAATAATGAAAAATACCTGGTGAGTCAAAATTTTAATTTATAATATTTATATTAAAAAAAGTGTCGGTGCATGCATATGTGTATGCATTCATGTGTACGCACGCGCCCGCGCATATGTATGTACATATAATTATTTGTTCTTGCAATGTATATATTTTAACCAATTAGAGATAAAAAAAAGTGAAAAGAAAACAGAATGTAAAACGAAAAAATAGTAATTGAAGTGAAATATATTTTGTTTTAATGTTACACTACAACAGTTTAAAAGAATTATAAATGAAAAAATTTATTTATTTTGTTTTTACTTTATTATTTTATTTTCAAAATATAAAAATGTTATTATATTACATATTGCGAAAATCGTACATAAGAAAATAAATGAACTGAAAATAATGACTAATAGCTTTCATTATTTTTAATATATTTATATTTATGTATAATGATCTTTATTAATTCTTTTTTTAAATTCATTTTTTCTTTTTTTATTTTTTCTTGATTAAAAATTTTTATAATCATTTTATAATTTTATAATCATAATTCATAATAAAATATATGAAAATATAGGAAATAAATGAAATTCTAGGTTAGGTTACTGATTGTTACAACTTAACCTCAAACATTGTTAATTATCTTGTCTTTTTTTCTTAATTATAATTTATATTTATTATTTTTATTATCAACATATGTTAATAAGGGAAAAAAATATGAATACATTATATTTATTTGCATTTATACATATATAATTGTAAATCAATGCTTTGAAATTCGAAACTGTGTTTATTATATTATTTATTATTTATAAATAAATCTAATCTAATTATTATAAAATTTAAATGTTTTAAATTATTAACGAATTTTGTATGAAATTTAAAAATCGAAATATGAAATCAAATAAATATAATAAAGAATATTTTATTCTTTAATTAGATATATTATATAAAGAAATATATGTATAAATAAAATCATGTATTGCTTCAAATATATTGTTATACATATTAATATTTGAAATGTATTAAATATGATTTAATTTAAAAATAATAATTATATTATAATATTTAATGTAAATATTATTAATGTATAAAATAATAGTTATCAAGAAAAGTATTTAACTTTTTAAATATTAATATGAAGATATTATATAATTGAAGATATATATTAATATTGAAGATAATATTAATTTTTATATATTTTTAATATTTTTAATTTAAATATTTATTTAAATAAAAATCATATTTTAAAATAACAAATATTAAATAATTTTTTTAAATTTTTTAAATTATTATTTTTTTAAATACAAAATATAATACATACATATTTTTTTAAATATAATACAAAAACAATATATAATAATTTTTATAAATTTTAAATTAGTAAAAAAGAGAAATAAAATAAAAATAATTAGTAAGATGAATTTGAAATTAAAATTTCAAAAATTAAAAGAAATTATGAAATAAAAATTATTAAGATCTGACATAAAAGTGATATATATTTTTTTTAATTTCAATTGTTATTTTACAATTATTATATTATTATAATATGAATAAATATTTTTATGTTTTAAATATTTTGGAATATGAATTTATATTATTTACAATTGTGTAAAAATAATAGTATTAATCAATATGATTGTAACTTATAAAAAAATATTATAATGAGAACAATATTGCTATATTTATATTATATAATATTTAATATTGTGTTTTCTCATTTTGTATTTTTAAATAAATCTATTAGTAATGAAATCTATTATTAGTGATGGCATATAGAATTATTATATAATTATATTTCATCTTTTCATTTTTTATGTGATGTATAATCTATAATATTTGAATTGTTTAATGCAAATAATTTAATGTTTAATGCAATGAATAATGCAACATTTATTATCACTTGTGATTGATGTAAATTATGATTGAAATTAATTTGATAATTGATATTAATTCTTAAAAATTTTATATTTATATTTTTATATTTATTTTCTTTATTTTTACATTAATAATTATACAATTATAATATATATAATATTATATATTTTATATATGTAATTATAATATATATAATATAATATATTGCTATATTTATATCTTAATTACAAAATTTATTAAATATCAGTTTCTATTTAGTAATATTAATGTTTTTTATAAATTCTAGAATTATAAAATGTGTTTTTATGATAGTTATAATTTATTAGTCATCATTATAATTTTATTTTTAATTAATAAATTAGTTATTAAATAAGAAATTGTAATTACAATATTAGCCTAAAAAGTTTTTTCAGGAACAAAAAAATGTTGTATAATATTCAATAATATATAATTATTAATTTTTTTTATAATATATTACATATATCAAAAACAATTTATAAAATTTTGATGTACTAATTATAATTCTATTATATGTAAATTATATATTATTATTATAATATATATTTTTTAATATATTTTTTCGATATATATAATACATTCAAATTCTATGTAATTGAATTAAAAGATATATCAATCTAAACTTTAAATAAATAATGCACATATATAAGTAGTTTTATCAATTAAATTTTTTTTTCTTAAATATTTTCAATATATTTTTAATATGTTTTAATCCAAAAAAAATGATATATAATAATATTTTCATAATCATTAATATAATTTATTTTTTTTTGTTAAGCATTATGTTTATTAAGCATATATGTGTATAATTAAATTTAATCTTTATATATATTTATATATTATATATTATATATATATATTTATATTAATAGAATTGTTAGAAAAATAAAATACATTAATAATCTAAGCTATGAAGAAATATTATATTTCATTCATTAAAATTATTATTTTTTTTTAAACAATTAATTAATAAATTGATTAATATATACATGTATAATAAATTAATATATATACTTGTATATATATATATATATATATACATACAAATTAGAACATTATTATATTTATAATTAATGTAATTCTTTTTCTTATATTTTACATATTTTTTTACATTATAAATTTATATTTATAATGTAATTTAAAATTACTCCTATTTAAATCATAAATAAAAATAATTAATAGTTGAGTTAGTAGTAAAGTTTTATTATTCAAATCGTTTTAATATTTCATTATAATATTAATAATATAATATTAATAAAATCATTATAATATTAAATCATTATAATATTAAATCTAATTATAATATCTAATTGTAGCTAATATTAATAATTAAAATATAACACAAATAGATTATTTAATAATATAATTGATAATAATATAATATAATGATTTATATTCAGAATATATATGTTTATTAATATAAGTAATCTATTTATATTATTAATAAGTAAAATATTAAATATATTATATAATAAATATATTATAATATATTATATAATAAATATTATATAATAAATTAAATATATTTATTGTAAAGGATGAAATTATATAGTACAACAAAAAATTTTAACAGATAATGGTATTGAATATTGCGATATGAATGTATGAAGTCATTTTGTATATTATAAAAATCTTTTAATATAATGATTAATTATTGTTAAAATATTATGTTATTTTTATGATTGTTATGCATTAAAACTAATCTATGAAATTATTTACTAACTAATAAATTAATTACTAATCAATAAAATTATAAATTTGTATTATATATTTTATATAATATAATATATTATTAATATAATTAATATAATATAATATAAATTCACATAATATCTTGTATAATATTTTATCATTTTATACATTTAAATATTAATCTCTTTTTTTTTAATATTTTGAATTAAATCTTTAATAACTAAGAATAGTCTTTTTAAATTAATTTATTTATTAAGAAATCATACAACATTTATTCTTTGAAATTTTTTGAAATTACTTTTTAATGATTTTTTTGATCTCATTTTTCAAGTAATTTTTGAATTCTTTGATAAAAAAAAAATAAATGGAAGATGGAACGATTTTAATGTAGTGAAATTTTTGATCTTTTTAAACTGTTCCAATGTTTTCAATGTTTGAAAATGTATATCTGTTAAATTATATTAAAATAATAATTATAAAGTAATTATAATAGTAATTTTAAATTAAATAATAAAAATAATAATAAAAAATAAAGATGAAAATAATCAAACAAAATCAAATAGACAAATGAATTGCATGTGAGATTTTTTAATTCAAAAGTGATTTTTTTTTTTTTTTTGCAAAATATTATTGAAAAATTTGCTGCATTCTATCAATAAACATCTTTTCTCAAGTTCATTACTCTTATAAATTAATTGATATATATATATATATATATATATATATATATATATGTAATATTTGTATTCTGGAGATTAGAATAAATTGTACTTTTTTTTTCTCGTCTTATTAAAATTAATAAATGATATAATAAAAAAACATTGAATTAATTTATATATATATTTATATAAAATATATTTTATATAAAACAAAAAAATATGTATATTTATATTTTACATGATATATAATATAAAATTTATATAAATTTATATATTTTTATATAATGTAATTTTAAAACATATATGAAAGCAATAATACAGATTCTAATAAAATAATTATTTAATTGATTTGAAAGAAAATATTAATGGAGAAAATTTTTTTTTAAATTATTAAAAAAAATAAAAATGTATCATTAAAAGCAAAATTATTTACTATAGTATTAATATTAAAATATTTTACATTTATTATTTTAATGTTTCAACATTTTTATTTTAATATTAAAACACATTATATTACATTATACTTTCATTTTAAATTATAATACTGATTTATAATTATAATTATAATTTATAATTAGATATTATGATTATTTTTTATGATTTAATAAATATATATAATTTAATTTAATTATTAATTTTTTTATTTAATTATTAATTATTAGAAAAAAATTTAGTTTTTTAAATTACTGTTAAATTTTTTTTAACAATAAATTAAATTAGTTTTTAAAAAAGTATTAAATTTTAATAAATTTGTTAAATTATAATTATAAAAATAATTAAAAGAA